ATTTCCATTCCTTTCTGGTAATTCCACTATAAAATCCATGGCTATTTCCCTCCAGGGGGCGGAGGGATTTGCCACTGTCTGTAACAGTCCGGGCGATTTCCCTTGCAACCTCTTTGCAGTTGCACACTTTGGGCAGCTGGCCACGTAACTTTCTATGTCCTTTTTTATGGATGGCACCAAAATTGCCGTTTAATTAAGTGTAATGTTTTTACAAATCCAAAATGCCCTGCTGATTTTGTGTCGTGGCAAAGCTGCATGAATGTGACTCTTTGGGTTGTTGGTATATATAACTTTTCCCCCACCCAAGGCAATCCGTGTTTATTTTTCTGGAACCATTCATCTGTTTCCAAACTTTTCCGGAATTCGATTCCGGTTTGGCTGCCCAGCTGTGGTTTTAATTTAGCTTGGGCTCTGGTGGTTACTGGCACTGCCAGTTGTGATTCTACCATCATCGGTTTAGAGTCGGTGGCTCGCGTGCTGTTATATTGCGAAATAGTGCATCTGCCAGGAAGTTCTTTCCCCCCGGCAAATGCTTGAGCGTAAATTGGAACTGGTGAAAATGCTGGGACCAGCGGGCTTGCTTGGGGTTGAGCTTCCTGGGTGTTTTCAGGGCTTCCAAATGTTTGTAGTCTGTCCACACCTGGAAAGGGATTTTGTTGCCTTCAAGGAACTGGCGCCACGTGAGTAATGACCAACGTACCCCATATGCCTCTTTCTCCCACACGGGCCAGCGCTGTTCCGTTTCCGTGAGTTTCTTGGATGTATACGCACAGGGTTGCAATACCCCTTCATCGTTTTCTTTTAATAGTACAGTCCCCACTGGCATATCACTTGCATCTGCCTGTATTACGAAGGGCTTGTCCATGTCTGGGTGCCTCAGTACTGGTTCAGCAGAAAAAAGTCTCTTTAATCTCTCAAACGCTGCTTGGCACTCCATTGTCCATGTTAGTGGCTGGCTAGGTTTTACTGAGGGTGCTCCCTTTGTTTTTAGTAAGTTCGTGAGGGGCAGGGCTATCTGGGCAAATGAGGGGATGAATTGGCGGTAAAAATTTGCGAAGCCCAGGAAACTTTGCAGTTGCTTTCTTGTGTGGGGTGGTGCCCATTCTAAACTTGCTCTGACCTTCTCTGGGTCCATTTCAATGCCCTGTGGGGATATGCGATAACCTAGGTAGTCTATCCTTTCCTGGTGGAATTCACATTTCAAGAGTTTGGCATATAGGTGGGCGGCTCGCAGTTTCTTTAAAACCGCTCTGACTAGGTTGACATGTTCCTCTTTTGATTCGGTGAAGATAAGAATGTCGTCTAAGTAAGCCAGGACCCCCTTAAATAGGTGTTCCCTTAGAACGTCATTGATTAATTGCATAAAAACTGTGGGGGCCCCTTGTAATCCAAATGGCAAGACTTTGAATTGGTAGCACCCCATGGGGCAGTTAAATGCGGTCTTCCATTCATCCCCTTCCTTAATTCTCACGCAATAGTAAGCTTCCCTTAGGTCTAGTTTAGAAAAAAAAATTCCTTTCGAGAGGTGTGACAACATGTCCTTCATGAGCGGCAGGGGGTATAGGTTGCTTTCACTGATTGTATTCAGGGACCTATAATCCATGCATAAGCGTAAAGAGCCGTCCTTCTTCTCTCTAAAGAAGACCAGGGCAGCCACTTTAGGCTTGGCTGGCTCAATGAACCCCCTTTCTAGGTTTTTCTTTATGAATCTTTCCATTTCCTCCTTCTCCTTTGGGCTCATCTGGGCTTCGGGAGTGCCATTGAATTCAATGGCACAGTCCATGGGTCATTGGGGGGGGGAGCTCATCCGCCCTCTCCTCACTGAAAACTTCAGCAAGATCTCTGTATTCCTCTAGTATTTCTGGTAGTCCCTTTTCCCTCTCATGGATGTTTTTTCCGTTCTTAATTTTGGTAGCTCCCCTTGGGATTTTAAGTCCATAGGGTTCCCTTTCAGGAAATTGATTTCTGCTGTCCTCCAATTCACCCACGGGTTCCTTTTTTTTAACCATTCCATCCCTAGGATCATCGGGCATTCCACGCCTGGGGTCACTACAAACGTTATGTCTTCCTCATGTTTGCCCAGGGAGAGGTGTATTGGTAAAGTGACTAGGGTAGCTGGCACCCCCCCCGGCTATGGACCCATCTAACTGGCCAAATGAGATTGGTTGTTCCAGTCTCCTCGACGGAATGCCCAGATTCCCCACTAGCGTCGGGCTAATGAGGCAGCGGGTGCAGCCAGAGTCTATTAAGGCTTTCACCTTCACAACTTCGGGCATGGGGGGAATTAATATAGTCACTGTCTTGAGGATGGGTGCGACGGGTCCACTTACCAGGGGTTCGCCCTCTGAGCTGTTGTCTGAGGCGTCCAACCGCCCTGCGGTGTAGGCTGGAGTTCTTTTCCCCTGATGGGGTTCCACAGCCTCCATCACTCTCATGGCAGGTTCTTTTGGCTTAGCTGGAGACTTCCCGGATTTGCTGGCCGGTGATCTGTCTGGGTTGTGCTGGGGGGCTTTTGAGCGGCATTCTACAGCCCGATGCCCCTCTCTCCTGCACTTGAAGCACCCCATTTGCTTCTTGGCCGTAGCCGATGGTTTCACTGGTTCACGTGTCAACTCAGGCGGTGAGCGGCTCCATTGTTTTCCTCAGCGGTGCCTCTTCAGTATGTCAATCTCTGCTTCCTCTGCCAGGACGTACCATTCATCAAGTTGGTGTGGGTCGCCTCGGGGCAGGCAAGCGTCATATAGGTCGTAATTTAGTCCATCTTTGAAATGGCTAAGGAGGATGTCTTCCGGCCAGTTCAGTTTGCTGGCAATGGCCTGGAATTCTTGTGTATATTCGGCTACCGGGCGTTTGCCTTGCCTCATCGTTTTGATCCTTTTGCGGGCTTTGCGATCAGCCAGGGGGTCCTCAAATCGCCTTCTCAGAGAGAACATGAAGCGGTTGAAATCGTTGAGCTCTGGGGCATTGGAGTCGTGCAAGTTCACCACCCAATCTGCGGCCGGCCCGACCAGGGCAGATTGCACGATCCGGATATGGGCTTTGTCGCTGGGGATATGCCGCCCGTATTCCTCCATGTAGCTGAGGACTTGGGTTAGGAAAAACCCCAAGCGTGTTGGCTCCCCATTGAATCTCACGTCCAGCGGCGGGAGTCTTTGAATGGATCGGTGCCTTCGTTGTCGATGGTAGCGTCTTCCATCCAGATCACCATCTGCGGGTCGGTGGGAACTACTGGATCAGCAGACGTCTCCGGGGCTGCAGGTTCCACTTCCCCCTCGGTGTCTCTCCCGTTGCGGCTCCAGGAGCTGGGACGGCTGTAGGGCTCAGAATTCTCCTCTCCTAGGGAGCTGAGAGTTCTCTTCATCAGGTCAATAGCTTTCTCTAGGATCCAGCCCGAGTACGGTGCCCAGCTCCCTTCCTCTTCACTTGCGTGCAGGGATTTCTCCATCTCCTCCTCCCATTCTTGTTGGTTGCCCCCCCGTCTCAGGGTCACCTTTCTTGATTTCTTTTCCCACTCGCCTTTCTTTCCAACGCCCATTGACCACCGAGGTTTGTGGTCCCCTGTCTCCACTACCTCTTCTCTGAGGAATCTGACCTCTCAGATCCCGACATCTGCCAGGGTTTCAGTCAGGGCAGCGGCTCCCTTTCCGGGGAGTTTTCTCCTTTCCCTGCTCCGTCGTCTGACATGGTGATTTTTGCAAAGTCCCCCGGCAAGGTTCTCCCTTCCAGGTGGACTAATTCTGCAAGTCCTGTCTAATGTAAGGACCCACCCCACTTTGCACCTTAAGAAGACAGAACTCTTGGAATATTTCTTCCAACAGGCATCTTTATTAAGAGAAGATGGTTGCAGGCGTTCTAGACAGGATCTGGGGCCCAAGCCCTACCATTCAAGGTTTTAAGTGTTCCCAAGCAGCCCCCCCACCCCACCATCCTTCCAGCAACAATCTCAGGCGTTACATTTCCACCCCCCTTTTCCTCACGGCCGGCGGAAGGGAAACTTCAGAGAGGAGTAGATGAAAGCTGATGGGCCCTATTGTTATGGTCAGTCCTTTTGGTGCGATCCACATTCAGTCCCTTTGAAGTTGTAAGGAAGGAAGTGAGAGCCATAAAACCCCTTTGCTCATCCCCCTTCCTTTTCGTAGTATGACAGAATCCAGAGAGGGCAGAAATGGGGTTTTCCATAGTTGATAACTAGAGATGAAATATAATTGGATTCTGACAGACTGACTATTAGGATTTGTTGATAACTGGGCTAAGCTCATTCTCCTTAGCTAAGGCAACTATACTATGAGTATTTTACTCTTTCTAAAGAGATTTTCTGCTATTATTCTTTCAACACTCTTCTGGTGTTCAGGAGCACACCCTTTAACAAAAGCTGCTGATGAATTTGAATCTCCAACACTTGCTGAAAAAGTAAGTGGTCTCTGCAGCACCATAATAACAATTTTGGGAATATTTGTGTGGGATCCATCAAAAATGGAAAAGGGATCATAACTGTATCTCCATTCTGATACTTTCCGGTGGAGCCTTGCAGTCTTTAAAGCAGGCAATACAATCCAGCTATGAGCAGAAGTGGACAGACAGTCTATTGGAGAATCAAAGAGATCACTTATTGACTTTCTGATTAATCTATCAAATCAATATTGGATTTCTGAGTTTAACACTTACATTCCAAAGTTGCTCTGTTTGTACAGCTCTCTAATGTGCAGATAGATCATCATGTTCCTTGTATCTGGAAAACTGAACAACCTAATTTTATTTATTCAATGTAGGAATGACCCAGCTGACTCTGGGTGATGTACAGTACAAATAATAGCATAAAAAGAGTATGATAATTATAAAAGAACTGATGACGGATCTGGTCAACCACATCACCAATCGGCTAACTCCACTTATAAAAAATATTTTTCTGCATCCGCTGAACCACCCTCTTTTCTTCTCCACAAATTGACAAAATAGAAACTGAGTCTCAGTCTCTCATGATCTCTTCTTGGCCTCCACAGCGGGAATGGAAGCTCTCTATGAAGTCAAGCGTTGCTCCTATCAGGATTCAGGATCTGCCCTGAAAGGGAAACTACGGCAATATTACATAGCAGCCAAAGAAGTGCGGTGGAATTATGGCCCTTCCGGATTAGACCCAAATACTGGGAAAAGCCTGCGTGAGCCAAACAGGTATGTCCCTTTGATCCAAGGTTTCAAATGTGGTTTCCAAAGTCTACATACTTTAAGCCAGGTATGCATCTGCAGTGTTGCAAGGAGTATCATGGGAAAAAAATGATTTTTCAACTGCTGACTGTACTTTTGTAATAAAAGAATGGGCTGATTAACTAAATTCACTGCCTGAGTTGGGATGCAGAAAGTTTCAATGAATGTTGAACAATGATAACTTACCAGAAAGGCAGATGAGCTCAAGTTGGCCCTAAAGAGAGCATTACCTAGCCCAGCCACTGTTAGAATCCCTATTGACAGTCCCATCTAGAGAATTAGTTTTTGATGCACGTTGAGACTGTCACATGACGGTGTCTTCCGAACAGGCTTTTTAATATTTCTGCATAAATATGACTTAAAATGTGATATGTGATCCATGCAAGTCCTAAAACTAGGTAAAGAGAATCCAGTTAAACAAATACTTGTTCATTGATTGATTAAAAAAAAAAACCGATCCACAACTACATACTTGTGCGTACTGTGAAACTCCTGAGGAATCACAGAGGATATTGGAGGAGGATTCACAGAACAAAAATTAATCCTGGGAAATGAAGGAAATGCTGGAAAGAAACTGAAACTGTCTCTGCCTTAACTCCTTGATCAAAGTGGAAGGCAGAGCAAATGCCATCAGGCTTCCAGGATTGATGTCAGCCCTTCAAAGGTCAGGAATCAGCTTCTTCAAGAATGCCTGGAACTCTGTTGAATTTAGCTTTGATCACAGAATCTTGAAAGCCTGGTGGTCTTTTCCGTTCCTTTCCTCTTATGCCAAAGAGAATCAAGGCAGGAAAATCTTGAGCTTCTGCCTCACACTTTCCTCATTTCCCCAGCATAATTCATCTGTATGATTCTCTAAACTTTATCTATCTAGCAAAAATCCAATCTCACATTGTTTTGCCCAGACAATTAGAGCCTGCACTTCCTAGTCAGCTCTCAATGGACTTGTACAATGTGTTATCCATCTGAGTATTGATGCTATTTCTCTCCAAACCAAGGATGATCTCCTCCAGTGGCTTTATGTAGTTGTTAAATAGCAAGGGGTGAGGAGAGAATCTTGTAGCAACCACATAAAAGGGGCCATGGATTCAACTCCTTGTCCCTTCCCACAACTGACTGGTTTCATCCATTCAGAAAGTAATGGAATAGTTTTAAAACATTGTTCCACCTCCCAACCTTTTAGGTCAGTGGTGGCGAACCTATGGCACGGGTGCCAGAGGCGGCACTCAGAGCCCTCTCTGTGGGCATGCGCACTGTCACCCCAGACCTAGACCTTCAGCTGGGTTTTATAAAACCTTTTCGCTTTAGGCCTCCGCCGCCCTGTGCAAAAAAAAAAAAAAAAAAAAAAAGGTTCAATCAGTCAATTTCAACTTCTGGCGGGAAAAAAAAAGATCTTGCAAAGTTGGAATTGATTGATTGAACTTTTAGTCCCACCCAGTCTGCCGTTACCACTGCAGCCACGCCCACCTAGTGGGCCATGCCCACCCAATCGGCCATACCCACCCAATGGGCCACACCCACCCGGCACTCGACAATGCATAAATGGGTTTTGGGTTGCAGTTTGGACACTCAGTCTCTAAAAGGTTTGCCATCACTGTTTTAGGTAATCTGGCAGGATGCAGATATATATATATGTGCTGATATGAAAAGCAGCCAAGGGACCTTCAAGGATGAGAGCTACACTCCCATCTTCCCTATCCTGATCTAGATCATCCACAAGAATGTCCCGTGCCAATTGAGAGGAGCATCCTTCTTCTTTACACTTTTCTGGGATTAACAGAAAATGTCAGGAATTGAACCTGAACTCTGCTGAATGCAAAACAGGTGTCCTTTTACCTACTAGATGGCCCACCCAGTCACTGCTTCCAATCCTGCTAGACCAGGAAATCTCAGGCTGGTCCTTAGAACATTTCTTGCTCAGCTCAGTCCTGGAGAAAGAGGTCAAAAGGGAGCCTTAGTGGTGACATTTCCCTGCAGGTGTTCAGTTTTTAGTTGAACTGGGCTTTGCCATAACTGGCCGAGTTTTCCAAAGTAACCACAGGGAAGCTCAGCGATGTCAGCAGGGAAAGTTATGGAGGCTACTCACAGTCTACTCCAGACGCTAAAAGATGTTGGGTCTTGGTTGTATTGTACTATGCGAACTAAAAGATAAAATAAAAACACTGGTGAGGATTAGAATTTAGTGTATCTAATGTGAAGTGCTAAAAATGAAACTGATTACTCAATTTGTTGCAGGATTGTTTTTCTTTCCCTGGCATGATTATGTGGAATATAAAACTGTCAGGGATATTTCTTCATTGTTAAGATTAAACTACCCTCTCAAGAGCAACAAAAAAAGGTTAATTTGCCAAAGCTGTTTGCACAGTTCAACATGAAACTCGCTATGGTTCTTCATAGAGCCAGAGTTAAATACTCCATAACAAATTCGCCTTTTAAAAGCTCTGAGATTTAAGAAATGCCGTGGCTGCTGGCTAATGCAAGAAGTCATTGTGGGCTTGTTTCTGTTCAGTTTCTCACAGCTGTTCTTTAAGCAAAATGCCAGTCAACTTGGCGGAACATATTGGAAAGCCAAATACGTTGAATATACGGATGGTACTTTTCGTGTGGAGAAAGAGCGGACGGAGGAAGAAAAGCACCTCGGGATACTTGGTAATGTGACAGGATTACATCTCTAATTGAGTAGGGAGTTCTTAATTGATCACTCATATTAGTGATTCTCAAACATGGCCACTTTAAGCTGTGTGGACTTCAACTCTCCAAATCCCAGCATGCTGTCTAAGGAATTCTGGGAGTTGAAGTCCACACAGCTTAAAGTTGCCAATATCAATGTTCTGACTGACCAACCCAACCAAGCAAACTCCTTCAAGACGTTCCGATCTCTTAACGTAAAACTTTATTGAGTATATCATTTTGGCACGTATTAAAGCAAAAACAGCTCTGTCTAACCCCAACCCAAACCCCTAGTAAAAGTATAGAATTCCCTCTCCCATCCCTGAACAGGTCACATTGCCCAATTAGGTGCAATTATATTGTTATGAGAAAATGTCTCTGAGTTGGGTCAGACACACCTGGTGAATCATCCTTGGTTCTCATGGTCTGCCTTTGTAGCTGCATTCCATTTCCCTATCATCCCCCAAGTTCGTTGGCAAGCTGAGAAGCCATAATTGTCGCACCAATAAAGTATTCTACAAGCTTGACAGTCAAGTTGAGAAACATTGCCCATATTTGTTCATTGCTCCATCCCTTTGACTTCTCCAAGCAATATATAATCCACTTATACACTGATTCTTTATTTAATTTACTGTGTCAGTGTTTCAAGCTTAAGGCTTGATGTTTTAATGTTGGTACAATATTAATTGTGTATATTGCTTTTATGATACTGTGAGCAGCCCAGATTTGTGTGATAGTAAGATAGGCAGAATATAAATTTAATAAATAAATAAACGCTTGATAGCCTGGAAATCTTTAATGAAGAACAAAAATTCTAAAAGCTGTATTTAAATCAAAATGTTTCCAGCTAAAGTGCTTCTAGCTAAAGAATGCTAAGGATTTATTCAATTCCATTTTGAGGAAAACAAAGTTTGTATATGTGGAACATTTTAGGTAGGTGGAACATTTTTATCAGATGGCATTATAGCTCACAATTATGCATAACTATAGTTTGCATTATATTCATGTTAAGGGTAGACTTTGTGTGTAAGGAAATTGTTGGAGATAGTCAATGTTTTATGTACTGCATATTAACTATATTAGCAAATGCATACAATTTTTTGTGCAAATTTATTTTAGAATAGTTTGGAATAATAAGAAATTCATCCAAATCAAAACTCACAAATTTTCCCTGCTATTTAATTAAAAATATTGTGTAATGGTTATTTTTTGTGTTTAATGGATTTCTTTGTGAAAAGAGAAAAGACAGCAAATATGGCACGATTATAAATGGAGGAGATCATGAGCTTGAGGCCCTGCTTCCAGTAAAATTCAGTAAGCAAACAGGGCAACTGTACAATTAAAATTTTAGTCAGAAGCGGTTCAGAAAACAGCCCATTGCTATATGATTATTTCCTTTTATTCTTCTTGCTTTTCATTCTGGATAGTGAAATAACCCTATCCTGATATTTTAAAATGAAAAGGAATGAGAGCAGAATAAGAATGAAGAACCAACCATCTTTGCCGATGCAGAGACAATGCAGCAGTGAAGAAAGACAGACTTTGGAATTATTAGTCGGCAGTTCATCTAGTCAGACAACAGGAAGAAAAACAGACAGAACTACAAACAGGAGAATCACTGTCAGGTCCACCAGGTGTCCTGCTATCGTGCTGGGGGGATGGTATGCTTGGGATTTTTCATTTCTGCTGTTTGCTTGGGAATTAGGGAAGAGGACCTACCAGTCCTCCTGGAGTCAATTTGCACAAGATGCCTGGTTACCCCCGCCCTAGTAGAAAGATTGGGGATACGATTAAAAGAGCTGAAGGTTCCAGTAGCGTTCTGCCAGCTAGATGGATCTGTAGCAGGGGCATCCCAGCAACGTTTGTCACTGAGCCTGTAGAAATGCAGATGGGAGGCCATACCAAGATTCTAAGCTTTATAGTGGTTCCCGGAATAGAGCTCCCCTTGGTGCTGAGGTTGGCTTGGCTCAAGAAGTGAAACCTGCATGTAAATTGGAGGAAGGACCTGCTGAAAATCCAACAAGCCTACTCAGCGTGTGGCCCGGAGCAAGTTCAGGAAGCTGTTCCAGCAAGCCATGAGTCGGGCTGCAGTGCAAGAGCAGGGAAGAGACCTTGGCTCTATCCCTAAAGAATACTGGGACTTGAGAGAGGTGTTCAGGGAAAAGGGGTCAGATGAGCTCCCCCTCATTGACCGACGGACTGTGCTGTAGAAACTTTCCCTGACTACCTAAGGCAAAACTCTACTTGATGACCCCAAGGGAATTAGAGGAATTGTGTTCCTTCATTGATAAAAAAAACTTGCCCATAGATTTATTCAGCTGGTGTGACCTCAGCAGGCCGCCCCCATTTTATTTTGTGGGAAAAAAGATGGATCACTTCACCTGTGTGTGGACTATAGAGGGTTAAATTGAGTGTGCTGAAAAATGTTTACCCATTGCCCCTAATGAAGGACAATGCTAATCCACTTAGCAAAGGGCAAGATTTTCACTAAGTTGGACCTACGGGAGGCTTACTATCATGTGAGGATCAAAAAGGGGGACGAATGGAAAACCATTTTTAATTGTCCACTAGTGTGTTTCCAGTTTAATGCCCTCCCTTTTGGCCTCCAAGATGCTCCAGCCATCTTCATGCAGCTAATTAATGAGGTGCTGCATGAGCACTTATACAAAGTGACATATTGATCTACACTGAGACAAAAGCTAAGCATGTGAAATTGGTGAGAGCGGTACTCAAGAAACTAAAAGCTGCTGAGGGTTCCGGTTTGCGGGTAGACCCCTGAGAGGGTCGAAAAGTCACTCTGGAGGAACGACTACCATTGAGGAGGCTTCTCGGATAGTTGCAGAGGAGCGGCGGCGTCCTCTGTGCTCCGAGTATCTCCTTTGGGCCGACAGGGTAAAGATCGGCCAGTAAAATGGCCAATCATTTAGCTGCGCCAACCGTAAGCCACAAGATCATCTAAGCAAATAGACCCACCGGGGAAGACTTGGTGAGACTTTCTTTTTACCTCTATTCTCTTTTTGAAAAGTTCTTTTTTTTTGGAATTACTCCCTTTTCTGGTGAAGCGGCGTTTTAAATGGGGGAAGAGAAGCTTAAAGGATTAATTCTATTTTCGTTTTAATGGTTGATTTTATTTTTGGATATTGGGGAGCATCAAGAAAGTTTTTTATATATTTGGAGAATATTGTTTTCTTTTATCTCTATGGTGTCTGGAAAGATTGAATATCTGACTAACTTTGATTATTCTCCAAGGAACATTTTCTGACAAAACTATTTATTGTATTTGTCATTTTTTCTTTGCTTGGAACGCTTTCATTTTGTACAAAGGAAAAAGATGAAAAAGCTGGGAGGAGATGGATATTGATTGAGTATTTTTTTAAATATAGTCTCCCTCACAAGGATAAGGATTTTAAATATGATAAAAATGGAGGAAACCTGTCTAGTTCCTACTTATAAGTATATTTTGGATAAAATTTTGGAAAATACGGAGAAGATAATTGCTTGTACAAAGGAGATCTCTTTGTATTGACAAGGTAAAGCACAAGGATTAAGTGAAACAGCAGTTTATGCTCGAGAGATTTGTTCTCCGTTTACTGAGTTGGAAGAAGCAAATCCACAGTTGGATTATCAAGCGATATTGGAAAAAAGACTTGATACCAATGGACAAATGATTTATGATAAGCAAATGGAGGATCTTACTTCAGAAGGACAAGGTGTCTTGCAGACGCCATTTGACTCTGTGATAGAGAAAAAATTATTGGAAGAAGAGCAAAAATTGATTAAAGAGGACGATACAAAAAAAAGGATTTTAACTGAAATTTATGCAATTTTAAAAGAGAGGGGAAATGATGTTCTGCCATGAGTTACCCAGGTTAGCTATAATTTTTATACAATGGAGGCTTCTTTTTTGATGTGTATATTGTGGCAGATGGAGGCTTGATTATGGAAACCTATTTGGAATAGGAAGAAACCCAGAATAAGATATAAATATTAAATTTGATTATAGTAATGTGCTAAAGGTTTCATAGCGACCTGGATTGATTAGGATTTGGACTTTGTTAAAAGGGTTTTATATGTTTTTAATATTAGAGATGGTATAATGAGAAAAGGACTGAAATATGGGGAAAGATGGAATTAATTATTGGAGAATTGGAGAAGTATTGAAAAAGAATAGAATATTGGTGAGAAATAGAAGAATTTAGTTTTGGAGTTAATAATGTTTAAATAAGAAAATACTTGGGGCACCTGAATAGTAAATTAACATGTTAGTCTAAGTTTAAATATTTGTAAAATTAAGAAAGCGTAAAAGAGGATTTTTGGAATAGACAATGAGTTTTCGTAAATTTTTATTGATTAATGAAATTTATATATAGCGATATGTTCAATGAAAACTTGTTTTAGAAATATTTTAATGAGCCTATAATAATATAAATAGATAGAGAATGTTAGTTTATGTTTAATTATTTAACTTGGATGTAGCGATATATTAGTGAATGAATTGGTTTTAGAAATATATTAATTTGATTATAATATTTTAAATAAATGGAGAGTTTTAGTTTAAGTTTAAATATGTGAAAAAGTATAGGTCTCCATAGACTGAATTTTTTTTATTGATTAATGGAGTTGATGGTTAGACATAGTAATGAATGAATTTATTTGAAAATGTGTTAATTTGATTATAATATCCTATATAGATAGAGAGGGAAATTTTTAAGAAATATTGTATATATATGTATTATGTTATCTTTTTTTATATAATTGACCACCATGTCTCCACATGGGCTCTTAAGCTGTGTTGGTGTAAAATGGAAAACTAATAAAAATTGTTTTTTTAAAAAAAAGAAACTAAGAGACTTCCGGTGGCAGGCGTCTTCGTCGGTCGCAGCTGTTTGCTGCCTCCCGCCTGTTTCGCGTAAAAGCCGGTTTGACAGCTAGCATCAGCTGTCAAACGGCTTGATACCTTTCCCCTGGGCATAAGGGGA